CAAGGGTTATAACGACCTATAACCGACGTAAAACTCTTGACTAGCCCTCCCCTTGGTTACCCCTCTTTCGTGTAGGGGCTACATAGCATCAATTCTTTTCGTCTTTAATTGGGAAGGGGTAAGAGTGGTAATAATCTGGAGATCGAGAATGGATATGCTAATGATGATTCTAGCAATAGCTTTAATACGTAATTGGTATGAATTTCTCTCGCTAAGCAGCCTGTTATTTATTCATTTGTATATTGTTCACCGAAAAAAGGTAAACGTTCTTGTATATTTTAGCTGTCATTCTGTTGTTCAATAAAAGGTATCTATTGGCTATATATGGGCCAATGTTAGAAATGATCCCTCTTCTTGGAATCAATGCGCAATAACTTCGTTTCTCGACAGCCCCTCCCCTTTCTTAAGTGTTTTGATTGTATACGTTCTTTATTCTTTTGCGTCTAGTTCGAGAAACGGCGTTGAAACAACTCGCCAAAAGGCAACAGCAGGCCTGAGCAGTACAATTAGCACAAAAGCTTTACGGCTAATCGACCGACCCCTAATTTACATTTCATTTGCATAATTTGACCACCCACTACAACTCATAACTTAAAATCGGAATTCACGAGTTAAAAAGAGTAACAAGCAGCGGCCAAATTGAATAACTAGGGCATCAAAAGCAAAAGCGAAACCTCATCATTCACTTGCAACAACTGGGGAAAAGAACTCGGTCCGCAGGCCTTGCAGCACCAACAACTGACTACACGTGCATTGCACCGTTGTCTTACTGGGAAGGGGCAAGGTCATGATGGCCTTACAGAACCGAACCCATAATGATCCAATCACAAATACGAACTTTAGAGAAAACAGGGTTTGTTGTGAGATGTCCTGTCGTCTTCGGCAATTGCTCTAACCAAGAGAGTATCTGCATGTGGCCTCGATTAGTTGCTGGAATGGCGAATTAATAAAGATACAGCTAACAGAAACTTCTTCTGAGGAGAAGAGTGGAGTGAGGTTTACATACTGAAATGCCTTCGGCGTCGTAACCAAAGATAACTTTCAACTGCTCGCTAGGGTCACGAGAAGGTTGTGAGCGAAGAAGATAAACAGACTCTTAAGTGTTATCGATCTCCATTAATTTCAATGATACTTTACCGAAGAAACATAAATTACCAGTACAAGGGCGCAGCTTCTTCACTCAGTCGCGGTCAGGTAAAATTGAACTATAACAGGGTATGCAAGACTTCTTCTGCGTCTTTCAAACCATGTGTATTAAAAATTCTATCTAAACAGAAATCTACTGGCGTTCTTACAGCTATTTGTATTTCAATAGTTTGTGACATTTCGTATTGGAGACCTGCTGCACGGAGTCGTTTTAAAGGTGAACCATGTTCAATGGGCGTAGACTTGTCGAGTGGTCACAGCCCTCTTTTTGACCAACCAATGAGTTCATTTCTCGTGACATTTGACTTTCCTTTCGAGAACATTAAACAAGTGATTCTAATGGGGTTTGCGAGGAATCAATTTTTAATTGAAGCACCAAAGAAATCGTCTGCTCTTGCGATAATTTAGATGCTTTTTCTTTGCGGAATTCAGTTAATTTGTAGAGGTGACATTGTATTCTCCTTGTGTACGTCGAACAGAAAATATAAAGTCACATTTTAACACGAGCACTATGGAGTACTCGAAAGAGTCGAATTTCACTTTTGGAAGAGATAAAACTCGTTGAAATTACAAGAGAAACTATCGCCATTCTAAGGTATCCTCGAAGATTGAAGACACGCGTAAGGTGATGTGGAGCCTGTGAAAAGAATTATGGCGCTGCTGGCACTGTTAGGGAGTTTTCAATGGCAAAGATGGATCTCTTTTCTCGTTCTTGCTTGTGCCGTCCTCGGCTACAGGAAATTAGGTAATTGTCCTAATACGCTTCACTTCTGTGACAGTCTAATGCGTAGAGGCCCCCTTGTACAGTCAAACCTTTCATAATTGTTAACCTCGTTCCAGGTCAATTAATTTTACTATATTCCAACCCCATGTCACTTGACCCTCTTTTTGTCACTTAAGAATTATTTTACTTGTATTTGGTTTGCTGTTTAACTAGGTGGTCGCTTGCAAAGTTTTAGGACTTTAAGACATTTCACCTTTTCCCTGTCAAGTTCGAGATATTATTCCTTATCCTTCATTTCATACTTTATTTTTATGTTAATTGTGAGAATCTGTCTTTATTTTAGAACAATATTCTCAAACCAAAGTTTCCCTCTATTTCTTGGTTGTACCTTAAAGAAAATTAGGTCACACCAGAAGTTAATTTTCTATGCTATTATAAACCTCTGATAACACTAAAATGTAACACTGTACTGAGATAATCGAAATATGGAAGGCAAGTGTCTCGCAAATGACATTGGATTAACTCAATGAGTAGAGAAATAAACAAGAACGATCGACCCAATTAAACATAAAAATATGATTCATATCATTTTGTTGCGCCTTTTCTAAACGAGAAAATTGAGACAGATTTAATAAACGGATGTATGCAGGCGCCCCCACTGTTGGGTAACCATGTTTGTTTCCCTCCCTTTTGGTTGTTCGCTTTATGATCTTGCTGGTGCCTATTAACTTCACAATAAGGCTACATTTTTCTCACTTTATGCGTAGAAGATATTCCAGGAAACACAAGGCAGTTCATTTCTAAAATAAACCACAATTGCCGAGACTTCAAGGGAGTTCTCAATAGATGTCACGTGTGGAAAGATATGGGTTTCTGCTTCAAATATCGTCGACAAATGCAGCACGTGTGCAACAGAACCTGCCAGTACTGCAGTGAGTATTCTTTTGCCACACTGTCCTTGATGAGTAAATTTTTCAGTATAGGTTGATTGGTCACTGATGTAACAATGGAAAGTGGTGTAAAATTGGGAGAGGGAAATGCTTTGACTAATAATTTTACAGTTTGTGTCATTCATCGACTAAGCGTTTAGAACGTGCGCTTTCGTGCTTACTGAATTTATTCATTTGTTTATTTGCTGATTTGCCTACTTAGTCATTTATTTGTTTGTTTATTTACTATTTCTTCGCCGTAGAAGAAAAGTATATACGATAGCAGAATTGCAAAACAAGTTATACGTTCTCTCAACAACTAAAGTGGAACTTGGCATTTTGTTGTAAAAAAAATTCTGTTTGTTATTAGTTCCAGGTCAGAAGCAATGGCAAGTTATAGACATAAAGGGAGTCTGGGGTGAAGTAAGAAAACCAGGCGTTGCGCATGGCATGTCGTCAGCGGTGCAGCCCAAGGTTAAGGCTCTAGCTGTACAAATTTTGGGAAAAGAAAGAGCGCCACAAGTCGACGATGCAGCCAGTGCTATAGCAACGCAGCTGGAAGATGGAACTGATCGCGGAATCTCAGGTTTTAACCATAATCTCAGCGAACCTTGCTCTAACAAGAATAAAATACAGACGTACATCCTTTATGTNGAAATAAAATATATGTAAAAAGAAAGAAAGAAAAACCACATTACATGCAGCACATTATTGGTACGTCTAGAAATCTTGTGGAGTTGCAATTCAAACAGACGGTTTTAAACGTTCGAGGATTGTCCGGATTGAAGTTCATTCTGACATCATCACTTGATGACATCAACATCGTGATCACGGGTACAAAATTGTAGATCTTGTTGGAAAAGTTGATTCAGAGTTAACATTCCGCGACATGTTTTAAAATCTAAGCTATTTTTTTTCTTTACCCCGTATTTTATCAATTCACTTGTCTTTCTCTTTCTTTATTTATCATTTATTATTTGTTTATTTATGTTTCTTTTAGCCTCGCCAAAAGTTGTAAGCCAGCTTAACAAGTTTCACATAGGCCTTCAAAATGCATTAGCACCCAATGAAACTAAGGCAGCAACAAGTGACGAAGCAAAAGGGAAAATGTCCACATCCCAACCTGTTTCGCCAACAGACCAAGGAGAACACAAACCACCCCCAACTAAGGGTCCTTCGATTAGTGGCATAACACAGGTAAGCGCAGAGAGTAAAGAAGGGCATCCTGTTGTCGTTTTAATGGGATATGAGCTCGGCGAGAAGTCAAGTCAGAAAGTCAATGACGTTCTGAAGAACACTGACTCTTTTCAGCGCATTGATCCAGGAGCAACGAATAATGTAGGTCCGGAAGGCGGGTTCACTAATAATAGACTGCTAGCGTTAAGAGAAAACAACGTTCCTTACGTCAAGGCTGCTCAGGAACGCAACGTAACTAGCAGGATTCCCAGTGAAGAAAACGTCCCTGAGTCAGACCTACAGGAGATCTCGACACTGCTAGACAATGCAGCATCCTCTAGCGAGGGCTTGCGTAATAATCAATACATGCATGAAGAGACGAATGAACGTAATGCCGATACAAATGCTTTGCAGTTCAAGACTGATGCACCAAGTTTAGACACTCAGGCGATGAACGCTTTACAAAGCAACGTTACGCACGACGAAGGAACAGGAAATCCTGACACCGTCTTGCCTGTTAGCTCTGACGAGACAGTGAATCAACAAACTTTTGACCAACTGACTAAGCATGCTCAACAAGACACGCCAGTGGTAAATACAACAAGCACGGCTGATACTGCATTAAAGCCTCATAGCTTAGAAGGCATGCCATCAGATATATCAGGAATGCTTAACAAGCATGGAAATATCAATAACCCCATTGTGCAGGTTAGTGCATGTTAACAAAATGATTCAAATGTGGATAGAATGTCTGATTGACATCTGCCGGTGACACAAACGCATGATTCAATACCGGTAATTCGACGGAATAAAAAACACAGGCGAACCCAAATCTCGCTCTTTGTCTCAGGTATGTGCCCAGTACTTCACCTTGATTGCTCTACACTACATTTGTCGAGTTCAATTGCACCTGCCGAGTATAAAAGCAAAGAACAGCATCTTTTTCATCATCAGAATACACGCATGTATCCCTTCCCTGAGCCTGAAATAGCTGTTGAATAGAAGACGTATCGTCTCACATGGCATCAGACAGACGCGTCAATTGAGTGCTGGACAATTTGAGTGCTCGAATAGGATAAGTCCGGGTTTTTGACTGCATAATTTTAGCAGCTGGAAACCCATAACTCTGCATTGCAGACGGAAATTTACTGGCGGTACGTAAAGTATGCGCAGCAGGCTAGGGACCTATTGGAAGCTCTGGGTTAGATTTGGCACAATCGGCACCAGGTATGGATAAGATAACCAGCAAAAAAATAATCATTTGCAAAATTTTTCGTTTTCCTCACCAGATGAACAGACCGCTTCCAAAGCACGCTTTCCCGGGTTCCTCAGGGAAGCAAGTAACGCTTACAATCAATGAAAAACCTGGCACTGGGGAGGCTGTTTTTAAAGTTCAAAATTCCCCTCATACAACTGGATTAAGTTACGAGACTGAAGGAAACTCGGGAAATTTGCTTCCGTCATCTTATCTCCTCCAATCGGAAAGCGAAGAGGCAAGGGCTAAGTCAGATGAGGAAGAAACAAAAATCAGAGAAGCCACTAACGCCATTAAAAATGTGATAAAATTGTTTGGACAAGACAACCGTCGTGGTCGTACTAGACTTATTCAACAGGCAACGCAGGATTTTCGGGGCGATTCCAAGTCACTGGAAGACAGTCGTGAATTAAGTGAGTACGAAGCACAGGTTGCACAAGCGCAAAACCAGGAACGTGCAAAAGCCAGCGCACAGACCCTTTCGCAACAGAGTGGACAGGAGTTCAGTCCTAATGAAGTGGAACCTGGACTTCGCCCGCCAAACTACGCGGTCGTCAGCACGAGCGATTCCAAGGAGTGGAAGAACCTAGCTCGTGTGCTCGCTACGCAACTGAAACGTGTACTGAATCATATGGAGGACCGTGAGATGGAGAACCGACATGAAAAGGAAAAGATACAAGAGGAAATGATGCTCATGGCCCAACAACAGATCATGGGGAGAGATGAAGATGAAGACCCGGATAACGAAAACGATGAGGATGACGGGGACGACGACGAAATGAACAACAGAGAGAAAAGGCGCCATTCTGTGCTCAACCCTTACGTGAAACAACGCTCTGAAAATTCCACAAAGAACACAAAATTAACAGACAAGAAATTGTCCAAGACAAATCCCAGCAGGAAATTTACCGAACATAATTTGGTTCACAGAGCTGTGAAAAAGTTACCACGATTAGAAAAGCTCCATAAATCTAAGAGACATCAAAGCCGACTGGTTAAGTGACAGAAATCGCTAAGGTGAAACCTTCAAGACGTTTTCTCTTGCCTTATAATCTGTTGTTTATCTTTTTTCTCAAACTCATTAATAATTCAACAAGTTCAAAAAAAAAAAAGGAAATTATGACGGTAAGGGTGTTTGGATATCTGATCTTAATTAGCATATATTTTTACGATTTTATTTCTCCGTTCTCTCCTTAGTTTTAGTTTCGATTGGGAAGATATATCAAACGCTCAAGACAGTGGCTTGACCAAATTTCCAAATCCCTCGAAGCTCGTCGAAAACACTCCGCTACGCGTCGTATTTCAACTCTCTTCTCGGTGTTTGAAAATGTGGTCAAACACGATCTTTCGTGCTTGATATATTACTTGAACTGAGTAGGAAAACCTTTCGGGGCTGAGCTTTAAGGAGCTCAGTTACGGTATTTTGAGTCATTTTGGCCGCGTAACAGAATTGCCTTTAAATTGAAGAAACCCGCGGAAAATGATAGTTTACTAAGATGGAAAAACACTAAAGAGATAATAATGAACCACTAAGAAACAAGGATGGAGAAGATTAACATGGATTACAAACGACGAACTTGAAAAATTTAGAGTGAACTTTTCAAAATGCGGAAACCATGACATAGCTCCTTTAAAAAGCTTCTTTTAGTTGATGTACATCAGGGCAACAGAGAATGACATGTTTTCATCTCGAGGATTATTCAATCCGCGAATATATATAATGGGCATAAATAGCCTGACGATCTGTAAGTTTCTCTCTTTCGTGATGTGTTATCCCATTGGTATCATTGAAAACTCTCTGATGCTAAAGGTGTGAACTATGTCTCGAACTTTTTAAGTCCCTCGAACGGATTCAGTTCTCATGTTCACTTTGGTCAGCTGTACCTTGATAGTTTTCACACGGTCCCGATACCGGAATTATACCCAAGCGCCACTCAAGTTGCACCAAATATGTTTTCTTGTCCGGACTGTTTCACTGACGTTCTACGCAAAACAGCATAATGTCACAGTTTACCGATAAAAGCGCATTTAAACGCCTGGGACCTGTTTCTCGAAAGCCCCGGAAAGCTTCGGGCCCGAAAAGCCATTTTTAGTTAATCGTTATTTAAAGACAGAGAGGTATACACACTTGAAACTTCTTGTACGGAAAGGAACATCTGTTAATACTACGATTATGTGAAAAGAACAGCTCTGTAATCATGAGGTTTGAGATTTTGCTCCGGCTTTCCGGGTGCGAAAACCTTTCGGGACCTTCGAGAAACGGGCCCAAGAAGTGAAAAATACTCGGATAGTTTTTGATTTCAGCCCATGGTCTGTGTGCATCCTCCGCTGCACAAAAAGAGCGGGTAAGCCTTCCACCAACCGAGCCATTGGGTACTTGGGGTATGTATTTTCAAAATGATTTCATTTATCTTTATATCACCTATTGTAACTCTACATGGTCGTCTACATACGTAACTAACTTAAATAGAATTTATTGTTTGCAAAAACGGCCTGTGCGAGCTATTACCAATTCAGATTATAGAGCACATTCTCCTTTATTCTCCAAATTAGGAATTTTAGACATTTATCAAATCAACACGTTTCAAATAGCTAAATTTATGCACTGTTATTATAACAACCTGTTGCCTCCATTGTTTTTCAACTTGTTTTTTGTTAATTGTCAAATTCATGACTATAGCACCAGAACAGCCAATAATTATCGCGTGCAACATTGCCGGACTAATCTAAAAAAGTTCACAATTTTTTACCAAGGTCCAAAGATCTGGAATTCCCTTCCTCAGTACAATCACTTCATTGTCAAGTGTTCCCAATTTTAAGAAAAAAACTGCTAGAGTTTTTAGTAAAATAATTACTGAACTGGCAAAGCCGCACGCTGTTGCACTATTTATGTAACCGTATTGTTACGTACGAGGTGGCCTCAACTAAAAGCCTGATGGTTTCTAGAGGTCACCTCGCCTCACATTAAAATATTTATAAATACTGTACATTAAGTAAAAAGGCAAATAAACAGAATGAATGAATGAATGAATGAATGAATGAATGAAACAGAATGAATGAATTTCATAAATCTGAATCACCAGTGATTTTTGTTGTACTAAGTTAATCTTTTTAAAACTTCTACGAAAGTTTATGTGCAAAATAATGTGTATTCCTAGATTATATTTAGTTTAAGACAACAAGTCCAAGTTATTACAGTGGTAGAATTAAGTAATCCATCTGTTATAGTTAAATTAGTTCATTAATATATGGGACTCTTCTTAGAAAAGCTCAATAGAGTTTGCAAGGCCTCCAGCCATTACATTATTCATATTGTTATCATCTGTAGTAGATTTATGTCAATTTGTGTAAATAAATTATAACGGTCAAATTAAATAAAAGTTCTAATACCTGACGGGGAATCTTTGGCTCAGGGTAATAGCGAATAGTGAGCAAGTGCAGCAAGGCCTCTAGAGAAGGTAACCAGTCATGTCGCTCAAGAGTCATGTCGCCCGAGGTCACCTCGCCCGAGACTACAGCCAGGTTTCCAGAAAGTTTAAGTCGTGTCGCTCGAAATGTTGAGTGATTTCGCCTACTGGAAATTATGGTCCGCAGTTCGAACGTTTCAGTGTAAACGTTTGTTTGAAACAGATCTATTAAGTATTTATAAATTGATTCGAATACGGTGAGATAATAGTACGCTGGGCAAAACTGTTCTGGATCGACGTCTTATGGCCAAGAATTAAAACAAACGAAGTGACAAACATAATTTTGTGATTGTCTTAAACTTAACTAAATTCCACACATGGAAATATATTTTTATATGGATTACGCAAGAAAGGCCTGCGTCACACCTTGTCCAAATTTGGTAACTAAGTCACAAAGTATGCAAAATCACTTGATTTCTGAGGGAAAGAGTCACATTGGGAGTGTTGTTTTGCGAAGAAACTCCTTACGTGCTAGTGGATTTTTTGGTCAAGATTTTGACAAGAAATACGATACTGTCTTCAGAAACTGTCTTGCCACAAGATCGGTCTTTCACCTGTTTTGAAGATGGCTGCCGTTAGCCCGCGCTTCGTACGAGCCACAATTCCACAAAATACTGGTGTGTTAAAGCGTTGTCGGCCAAAAACCTCAGACACTGCTATTTGTGCTTTTAGGAACGTTTCCGGACCTGTCTCTGGGTTCATCTACCAGGAGCATGCCATTTTCTCGCGTTTTCTTGCTTAACAGCTTGAAATAACTTTGTTTGCTTTGCCTTGTGGCCCTTCAGTGGTAGCATCACAACTTGAATATTTGATTCTCTAAACCGCTGATGTATCACAGGATTATAGTACTGTTTAGATGGATTATTGCTTCTTCCTCAGGTCATCCTGTCAAATTCATGGAAAAAAATCCATAAACACTTAACGATGTTCTTCGCACAAAAACACTGGTCTAACACTGCGATGTTTATGTAAACCATAACTATTAATGTCGCAATTTTCCGTACTTTTGTGATTCAGTCCGCAAATCTAGATAAGCAGTGAATCAAGTTTTCGTCGAGGGATCAATATGAAAAAAACTTTCCATGTGTGGAATTTAACAAGGTTTAAGACAATCAAAAAATTATTTGCATCGCTTTGCTTGTTTTAATGTTTTCTCGCAAAACGTCGATCCAGAACAGTTTTGTCCAGCGTACTATATTATGTTTCTTTTTAAATATGCCTAAGAAAGTCCTAAAATCGTGCAAAACCTGAGATCTTGTTTGAGGCGTACTCTTCTCAGTTCGCGAAGAGTTTTGCCTTTAGGTTTCATCGATTTAAGATGACGACATGGCAACAAGGGCGCCTTGTCAAGTGCGACTTATATTTTACTAGTTGCAGGTTTTTCCTTGCTTTGTTTTATGCCGGCTTTCCTCGTCATTTGTTACCGTTCACTTCGCCAGTTAGTTTGTTTCGCTTGTCTTCCTGTTGTGCACCTTGGCCTCTCGCTATCTCGCTGCCTCTCTTAGTTGTTTTCACTGTTTCCCTTTCTATATTTTTCGTTTTGCTTCTTTCGTTGCTGCATATTTGCCGTTTGCGTACTTTTCTTACCGTCCCGGCAGATTTTGTATTTCGTTTTATATCCCGCTCGTTATCTTTCACGTGCTTGTACACGGCTTTGTTACGTTCCGCCCGGAATGTGGGCTGAAAAGCGAAGGAGATTTTATTACACTTTACTTCCGAGAGTGCCATTAACAGGGCTGAGAAGCCAAGAAGGTCTTTTAACTTGGGCTGAGTAGCTAAAAAGGTCTTTTACACTGTATTTCCCAAAGTATTAGTTGAGCTGAAAAGCCAAGGAGACCTGTTAAGTTGGGCTGAGAAGCCAAGAAGATTTTATTACAATTTCTTTCCCTGATGTGTGTTGCCAGGGCTGACAAGCTAAGAAGGTCTCTTAAATTGGGCTGAGAAGCTGAAAAGGTCTTTTTAAATTGCATTGCTCAGAGTATGAGTTGGGCTGGGAAGCCGAGAAGACCTGTTAAGTTGGGCTGACAAGCCAATGACGCCTTATTATTTTGTATGCTGGGTTGAGAAGCCAAGAAGATTTTTATTACATTTTATTCCCCGATGTGCGTTAGCAGGGCTGAGAAGCCAGGAAGGCTTTGTTATGTTTATATTTCCCAGTGTGTTATATAAACCCTTTTGTTTCATTATTTATCTTTTATATGTTTACTGGGCTAAGGTCCTAAATTTCTTTCTTCTGCCCTTGGTAGCCTGAAAGGGTGTCTAATGCCCTAGCCGGATTAATGGCGCTCAGGCTACCATCCCTTGGGTGGTTTCTTTTTATTATTCTTTTTCTCTTCCTTGCCCTTTTGTTTTATTATGTTCTCCCAAAGGATGGCAGCCTATTATTCCTTATCCTCGATTTGTACTCATGATATTGTTTTCTTAGTCCCCCTTTATTTTATTATACCCTGTGTGTTATAAACCCTTTTGTTTTATTATTTATCCTTTACGGTTTACTGGGCTTGGGTCCTAAATTTCTTTGTTTTTTTTCTCCCCATGGTAGCCTGAAAAGGTGTCTAATGCCCTAGCCGGATTATTGGTGCTCAGGCTACCATTA